TAAAAGGGAGCCTAAAGTTGAATTAATAGAGGTTTTTGTTTTTGTTCGCAATAAAAAACTTCACTTACCAATGGAATATCGTCAGCTGGAATGAGGGCCTTTTTCCCAACAACACCACCATACATTTGCAGACGGCGATTGAGTAACACTGTCCATTTCGGTTGCGGCGCATTAGCAATACAGGAAATCAGCACTTCCTCTTCTTCGAGCGTAATGAAGTTAGGAATATAGTAGACTGAAGGAGGAGCCTAAACAAGTTATGCACTCAATTCAAAATGATGAAATACAAGAGATGAAATGAATGACTTTTTACACGATCAGTGACTACGAGATGCATTGAAGAATCAGGTGCGTTACCTCCAAGAGGATGGGAATTGCACCTTAAGCTGGTTACTATAACAAGTAAGAGACTTTGATCCTTCTTTGCTTGGCCTCTAGAAGTTAACATGATTAGATAGAAGCAATCGCTTGGCTCTATTCCTAAGCTAAACGTTGATTCGGTACATTTAACTAGTGCATGTGCCTTAAAGTGATGATAATTTTTTCAGGTTTTCAATTCAAGATCTTGGACATTAAACCCTCTAAATGTTAAGAAATACATTTAAATGTTTAGACTCTAGTCACATTCCTGTTTCCCTACTAATTGCAGATGTTGCGTCTCTAGCTGCCCAAATGTGAAGTTTTAAAAGCAAATGAATACGTAAAACCACAGTAACTCTAGTATTTACATAAAATAAGAATTTGCTGAATGTGTTTTCTTATTTTTTTGAACGCAAAAATTATCACATCTGCAATTATGCTGTCCTCCACGAGTTACGAGCAAGAAGTCCGCTTTTCATCAACATCATGCTTAAGTCAATCTATAATGTACATAGAATCAATGCATTTTTCAGTATCCGGCTGATTGACAGGACCGGTTGAATCGTGGTAGAAGATTTAGATCTGTGGAAGCAGTCGAAAAGTGCTAACCGGCGCGAATTTATCAACGAATGAAAAGTCCTGTACCCAAAAATTCACCAATATCAGGGGAGTAGATATATCTCTTGAGTAAAGAAGAAAGGTTACGCAAATAATATGGCCATGAAAAGTTGGATAACCCTTAACAGTGATTTATAACTCAATATTATAACGCGAATGGATATATTCTTAATCCCCATACCAACCTAAGATAGATACTGCACTTTCTACTTAAAAGATAATGCCCGGCTTACCTAATTTTCCTTCATATTACTACCCATTCCATCCATGACTGCATGAAAATATACCATTCTGAATGATATATTTGCCTGATGAACTTCACCTGAGCGTTGCACTAGAAAATTCTATGCTGACCCAGAACAAAGGTTGCTGGGGAACGGCCATTTCGCAAAACCAATGCTGCAACCGATTGCTTCACCTTTCTTTTATCCTACGACACACAAGCTTTATATATTGGTTCTTACTTCTTCCTTCAAATTAAATACTGCATCAACCAAATTCTTGCACTTTTTCTGTACTTCCTGCTAAATCTTGTATGATATGACCAAACTCGGTACTCTCTTAAGCTAAAACAAAAAAAAA